GTACAGAATCCAGGTACCATTGAGGTGTCAAAGAGGCACCATCTTCCGTTCATGGGAGTATGGTCGATCTCTTCATGAATCATGTCGTTAAGGAACTTCAATGTCCATCGTCTATCGTCTGTCTTCTCGAAAAATGAACTCCCATGGAAGGAATATGTTGCGGACAGGGGCTCTACAAAACGGTTTCCATACTCATTTCATCCTTCTATTCCGAGTTTTCCTATGCCGTATTCATTCTCGCTGCTTGTTTCTAATTTACCGTTGAAGTCTACAGAAAATAATTAATGTAAGGAGTTTTCGTTGTTTATTACTTCCTCCAACTAGTTGCACAACGCGTTTAGTTCGCTCTCATCGGCTGTACAAATTGGTGAGAAAGAGTTGACGATACTAACTTTCTTTTGACCTTCCAATTTGGAAACGAAGAACGGCCAGGCGCGATGATAGGATTTTCCTATTAAGTGACTAACTGGAAAACAGACGGGTGTACAACAACGCTAACGCCTTGAAACATTTCGTAACGAGAATTGCTCTCCACGAATAATAAGGATTCGGCTAATGACGTCCTGTGCAACCCGGGATTCGTTCCCTTCTCACCGATTGTACCACCCCCCGACTTCGTAGACGGGAGCGTCTAATGTCCGGGATACTGAGGCCGGGTATTTGCTGGGTCAGCCATTGTGGTGTCCTAGAGTCCCGAGGTCAGCCTAGCTGAAGCCTTACTAGATGTTTACCACCCCATGCAGTTTCCACTTTGTTGATCAGAAGAAAATTTGCCACAATACGACTAGTTTGATACCAGGACGGCAGTTATTCCTGGTATTGATTACTCTTAGCTGGGCTTCCTAATGGAAACGTCGGTCTCCTTTTCAGCCTGGGAGACCATTACTGAGGAAACAAACCACCAGCTCTAGATCACAGTCCGACACCCAGGAATACCTCCCAACCACTACGAGACTGCAAACCGTTGGGAGAAATTGAAAACATTGGTAGATGCAAAAAGCGAACAACTCTTCGAGAACTTTAGAGGAATTCTATGTAATCATCTCAACTCAAGCGGAGCATTTAAAGAAATTTGCAAAACCGAAGAAACTCGACAATTAGCTCAGTGGTTCGACCATGCTGGTGAAGCTTCGCAGCATTTTCAAAACTGAACCTACTCCAAAAGAATTTCACGCTGAACGTTTTGTAGTCTATCATAAGTTTCTCAATCCGAGTAAAACAACTACGGTGCAGAAGCATCTCCAGAAAGTCAGTGAAATGAAACGAAGGAAACTTCAGTAGCTCAGCATTTCATTGATGAATAGAACGGTAAAACATTCTTTCCACCGCAATCGCGACCGCAGGTCACAGGACCGACGGTGCAGTATTTTAATGAGCTAATAATGAGCATCATGGAGATGACAGAATACATATCTGACCTCACGCGTCTATCGATGTATTAAGTCAGTCTGCTACCAATTTTCCGACCTCAGAGCAATTGTGGACAGCGTAGGATCGAATCAATGACCATATGTGTATTTCAAGGAACGTCGAACCAGTGTGCTACACGTACACAAGGATAAAGTATTGGTATAATATAGAGATTTTAGAGATTTCGATCCCGAAGTGATATTTTTCAGTATTACTTGGAATTACGACGTAAACCGCTCTTCTACACTGTGAATCTTGTATTTCCCTGTGTTGGAATATCATTTCTCACAATTCTGGTCTTTTACTTACCATCGGATTCTGGCGAGAAAGTCACGCTGTGTATTTCGATCCTTGTCGCGTTGACTATCTTCTTTTTGTTATTGGTACGTTTTTATGCATTCTTTTGTCTCATACAAGAAAATATGTCTTAGGATGTTGCATAGTGTAGCCAAGGAGAGAAAGCATGAAGGAGAAGAAGGAATTTTGGCATGCGCAACGATTTTTGGCGGAAAACTTAGAGAACTCAGCGGTTTCTTCATTTCAGATGAGCATTCCATTGAATAGGAGGGAGAGCAAAATGTTGTGCTTTCCATGAATCGGTGCCTCACTGCATCTCATTATTCGCACTATTGACCTCCCTGAGAGCCATGGTGCGAAACCGAAAGTTGTGTAGTCAAACTTGTGTATGTAAGTAATAGAGCGGTAGTATTTACGTTAGGGTAGTAACCGATGTGCATAAATGGAGAAAATTAAAAATTGTCGCAATACCTTGACAGTGTAAGGTGCTAAATAAGACAATGTAAGGCAAATGCTATAAGACCTAAAAGTACCTACAGCTGAGATTAATCGACTTTCCATGTTCACTTTCTTGGTGGTCTAGTGAAGAAGAAGAGCAGCACGACTCATTTCATTTAGGAACCTCTTTCGTCTCCTGCTTTTTTCTCCCATGTTGTAGGGGAAGTATCTCAATTAAACGATTTAACTCGTATGAAATGCTGAGATCGATAGAACTAGCTGAGAGACAGGCAACCCGAAGGACCCGGATGGTGTAGTGGTGAAGTGCGTTGCTCTCCGGTAAGGACAACAGCACGTGTTCATTCCCCACTGCATACACCTGTGGTCCGGAGATTTTGCAAATATCTCAGCATTCCATACGAGTTATATTTCGCAACATACCCTGCCATTAAGATGAAAAAGGCACTAAATAAAATGGTTAAACGATTTAATTTCAGAGTTGTGTTTTCAGACTGAAATCATTCCTGCCACATCAATAACATTACCTTTAATCGGAAAATATTTGCTGTTCACTATGGTGATGGTGACTCTTAGTGTTGTAGTCACTGTTATATGTGAGTTATACCGCCATTTTACAACAAAATTCTTGTCATTTCTTGTTTACTTCTATGTTTTTTACGGACACTTTTACAACTTCTATGTCCGGGCTAGAGGTTGGCGCTGTGGTTAGTAATGAAGTCCAACCACAAACAAGATGCTGGTTCAACCCCCTTTCCAACGCTTTCCTCCAATCCACGTGGGAACGGCTTAGTCCTGCTGTGTTCCAAGATTGAAAGGAGAATCGAGACCAACATTCTAAGACATTCAAAAAGGAGACGAAATCCTCAAGCAGAAGGCGAAACAAGATGCGAGACGTTGAAGGGACTTTGTGGGCGATGAATGCGAGAAAAATGAATCGAATGAAAGTTGAGATCCGAACAGTACATGTGTTGATGGGTCGTGTAAAGTAACATGACATCTGCGGTCTTACATTTTTTTTATTTTTGTATTTGTTAAACAAGTAAAAAATGCGTGACTAGACATCAAATTAAGCGGATCTCGGCGCTTCCCTCTTTCTCTTCGTTGTCTCGCGTCTATCGAAAAAGTATCAGCTTTCTGTACAAGCTCAGCTAATATGTGAACACTTCGTACTCTTCATAAATATCGTTGATTGTTAGCCGAGTTGGCTTTCCCCAGGATCGTAGATAGCTCCACTTGAATCTCACTAAGTTTTCACAAGATTGAGTCACTCGCCTTTGTGGATCAAGGAAAGCTTTTGTCACACAAGTCTGGTATCAATTTAACATCCCTTTAAGGTTGAAAAGCTTGGGTCGTTTGAGATACTAGGTCGAACGAGCGACCACATGTGTATTGTAGCGAACTTCTAATCACTGCACTACATGCGCGCTAATACTTTGCATATCAGATCAATTTGATGGTAGCGCGTTGAACCATCTTGCATGTACTTGTCAGCCATTCGACTGTAAACAGCTAGTACATCTGTAGAACTCTGCATGCATATGACAACCTGTATAGGAACTATTCATCAAGTAGTTCCTGTTTTCTATTTTAGTGTATGTTTCTTGTTCACCTGTAACTATCTTAAATCTATCTTCGCATCTTTTTTAAATTACCTCTTAGTCACTATCTCATGCAGTTGCCTTGCAGGTGACTGGAAAGGGATTCCATAACTCCTTTCAATAAACTGTTCTTCTTTGTCCGACAGTTCAGGCATTGAATCAGCAGCAATCAGTTGAATGTACTTTCCATAATCTGCCGTCTCAAAGAAGTTTCCGAACGAGCACCTGCGTCCTTTCACATGTAGCTCTATCAGATTGTGCTAGTAGAAAAAACCTTTAGAACCTCACCCTAGGCGCTCTCTTTAGTTCCCTCTGGCAAAGCTCCACCCACTGCAGAAGTAATACAGACAGCCCATGGCCATTCATCTTCATGGGTTCACAGTGTTCGTCCAGTGTCCATCCAGTTCGTTCATATCGCCTAACTCGTCTAACTCGTCCACAGACTTCGCTCTACTGTTATTGTTGTTATTGCTACTATTATCATAAAAGTTGTAACCCAGCGACTGTTCGACTCAGCGATTACACACAAAAGATCCGTATGGCAGCTGCAAGGACTAATTGTTCACAACGACTTGGTGTTCATATAAAATTGCGAGCTCGACGCCGCAACAACCTGTGCAATGAAAGCATATGCCAATGAGCCATTTCGGAAACACGATATGAAATCAAATGCTGTGCAGATCCCATCATTTTCTTTATTTTTTCATGTGGTTAGTGGTCCGCTATCCATCACTTATGAAGCTCTTCGGATCTTGTGCGTTGGTTCGGAAACTGATTTAGGATTTTTGTTTTCCTTATGAATGTCGTTGAATGCTGTTCAAGTAGTTCCACCCTGAAACCCTGAGATAGGTGTACTAGTGCGCTTCCATAGCTTTATTACAGGCTATCAGCCAGCTCGTGTTTGAAGGAAACCAGGTGCTCCATGATAGTCTGGTACCAATTTTATGACCAGAGATAGATGGAAGTTGGTATGTCCAGGGTTGAACCAGCGCCATACTCACAGTTGGCTTTATCAGTCAATTTCCTTCCCAGTAAAAGTAGTTTATCTATACCGTACTACTGTAAGTATCTTTTCCGTGTTAAAACTTTTAGTTAACACCTGGGTAGCATCACGTAAGCTCGCGTAACAACAGGTAATAAGTCTTTTATGTGGGCAAAATCTGTGGATAAATCAGTTGTTTGTGCTCATGATTTTCAGCTTTAAATCTTCATTTTCGAACTCCAACCACTCATTTGATGCCAAAATGGGTGAAATTGGTTTTCTTGAAATGGTTGCCACGGCTATTATTTATGAGACGATCGCTTGACGACAGCGAAAATTCGTTTCGAAAAGTAAGCTCGAGAAAAACACTCGGTAGGCATTGATGGACTGAATGTCCATAGTTTATATGTGACTTCAATTTCCAGAATTTCATTGAATTTGAAATTAAAAATAAGGAATATGTGCCGCTATGTAGATTTTTAGGATTAACAACACTTGATGGGAAAATCCCCTTGAATTTGCATGAACATCGTGTGAGTCGTGATATTGGCAAAAGTCTGGGGAATGCTGCCGTAGACGAGCGGATACAAAAACTCTACTACTCTCCTCAGGTGCCTTTTCCACTGTTTTTTTTTTGGCCATGAACTGGAAGCGGGTAAAAATTCGGTGGTGCAGGAAGCGTAATGGTTAGAGAAGCCGTGGTCGCTGGTCCGATCCCGAATCGCGCTAGCCAGTCCTCTCATCCATCCGGAATTGCAAATTCGACACCAGACTTCTCTCGAAAAAGCTCTTTCCGGCGGCTACCTTTCTGATGTACACCAGCGAAAGCTGTAGCAGAGCGACAGCCGCCAATCCATGGACCTTCCGTGGTTGCTGAATTTAGAGTGTAGCTTTCGGCGTTGACCAGTGACTTAAGGATGAGCCTTACATTCGCCTTTGTCATGCAGAGTATTGTGATAATTGGCTGTCTTCATCATGATTTTCAAGAGTAATGCAGGTACCAGCACATCTTCTGTTTTTTTCTCCTTCAATCGTCGTCCATCGTGCCGATCTGCTTTGAGTTATCATGATGACGTCCGTGTTACGCATTCAGTCAACCATTGTAGAGGTGGCTGAATGAACGTTACACTTATGCAGTAACTTTCAGGGGAATACTAGTATATGAAATTAGTGTCTTTAGCCTCTCAGGGAAGTCCAGTACCTGCTTGTTAATTCCGAAGCGATGGGGGCCTTGGCTAGAGCAACATCGAGCCACCGACCATATCTGTATTGTAGGGCATCTCTAATCACTGCGCTGCGCTCCCTTCATATAAATAAAATGAATAAAGCGATACATCGAAAAAATCAAGGACAAAAACTGCGAAGCAATTCCCATGGCCGACTTTCTTTTAACCTCATTGATTGATAATTTCATGTTTTTCTTCAATAAGCAGACACGAGGTTGTTATTATAGGATTTGTTAGGAATTATCAATCAATGCCGAGGTTGAAAGAAAGTCGGTCATGGGAATTTCTACGTGAAGTGCCAGCAGAATATTTCCGACTCGTAAAAGAAGTCTTGTCACTGGGACAAAAAATTGTCTTAGCTAGACAAACGATACTCTTTCTTCGCCGCTGCCTGAAACACCGAGTCGTGCTGAACTTCATCGAACGAAAACGACTACACGATGTATGCGGCCTACCGAGGGACAGCCAACTACTAGTACTGGACATCGAAACGCGACTACTACGCACCTCTCTTCGATGCAAACAGGACACCATGTACGCGCTATTGAAGAAGTGCAAGTTGAAGGAATCGTATTGTGTTCAGTATTTGGAGGATTCCCTTTGGAGGAGAATAGTAGGCTCTGAAGAAGGCGAAACCGCCGAAACGTCGGCTATTGTATCCTAATAAATCCTATAATAACAGCCTCGTGTCTGCTTAGTAAAGAAAAACATCGAATTACGAAGCAAGTTTTTAACTAGAGTCCGAAATTCTTTCAATATGTTCAGTTCTTACTAATGGATTTGGTTCGAAAGAAATCACAACAAACTGCAAGTGAATCGAGGTAGGACCAAATGTTAGACTAGAACTAGAAAATGGATGAGAGACAGGAGAAACGAAAGACCCGCATGGTGTGCTGGGGAACGCGTTATCCCCCGGAAAGGGTAATAGCGCGTTCGTTCCCCACTGCAGACACCTGCGGTTCGGAATTTTGGAAATATCTCGTCGACATCATGGTTGTAGTTCACATAATACCTTGCCGTGAAAAATTGTAGTAGGCAGCAGATAAAAATTTAACAAATGTTGGAGTTTGTCCTATCAACAGTGCGGCTTAGTTTCCGGATTTTCATGTACTTCATTTTCAAACCATTTAATGTCATGAATGATTTATCTTGATCGCCTTCCCAAGCTAGCGATCGAGGAGTCAGGGTTTCGTCATTCGCCGACAACGAAGTGAATCATCTTTCTATGTGTTTTTTGTGAAATTATGCAAAGTCTCAAGATATGTTATTTTTTATTTGTAACTGCACTATTCACATTTCCAGGTTATTAAAGCGTTCGAGAACATTTGTTTCATTGCGGAGTTGCTCAAAAAGAAGGACCGTGACGACAAAGTAAGCATAATTTAGATTTGATAATAATGTTAATACGTAATAATAATACAACTTGTAAGAATGCGTTCTCTATTCTCTATCATCTTATCGTAATCATCTTTATTTTCTTCCTCTTAACATAGGAGACTATACCACCAGAGTATTTCCGTCCGGTGCACTCGCTTCATTCTGTTTAGGGTTTTCTCGTTGGCTAGACTCTTCTGATTATAAGTTGAATTCCTTCTCAGTCCACGTATCAGTGCAGTGATACTTATTCAGATCTGGACTATAATTCTTGCCACTTAAATACATTTTAAGTAACTAAATTAACTTAACCGTTATGTGTTAAGCTTCATGCGCTGTTCATTGCCATCTTTTGACCTCTAAGTATGACGCATCTTCAGAACTTACTGTTTTGAGATTCTTAGGTCTAAAGATCGAGCAGAGCATTTTTTCAACTCCGTGATAGGTTTTCCTGTATTTTGAAGCTGCTGATAAGCATTTTGCTCAACCCAGTACCATGAGTGAGATTGTATGTTAGGTTATTAATTTCGTCTTTAATCGGGCGTTCTGTGAAAGTGTAGCCAGTCGAGGAAAAATTCGCCGACTCTATTGGACGTGGAAATCCTGGAAAGGAAAAGAAATTGTTTCCGAGCAAGGAATATTTGAAAGAAGCTCGTTCGTTTTTGTTCTGACTCGTCATTCATGAGGTGCTTTGTTTCAAACATGAGGACGTCCGCAAGTGTCGTTCGTGTTATTATGTGCTTCATAAGTAGCTACCAGCTGCAAATACTGCAGGTTGGCGTATTCTTGCCTGCAAAGCAGTTAGTTGTTCCATCTTTTAGATTGCCCTCCTAGAAGACCCCCTTATGAACTAGGCTTGGGCTCTGTCGTTCTCGTCCAATTATCGATAATTCCCTCATCACATCCCAAACATGGATGATGCACGGTTTCTCGAGATGACTATTCCACTCGGTCATTAAGACGCTTTAGCAGGCTTAGCCTGCGAAGCCGGTCTTTTTTTGTTTCGCCTGGATTTTAGGCGATATCTTCTAAACGCTCTATAATTGATGCGCAGGGTCTTCGACATGAGTAAGCTTCAAACCACCTTTCAGAACAAGTAGTCGCAGACGCTTCTTAGTGACTAGGTGACTTTTATGTGCGACTCGAAAACGGCACGTTGATATTCTTCCGTACGGTGTTCATACTTCGAGCCAATTACAATGTTCATTTGATGCCGGTGATACGCTGTTTCTCATGATCGCAGAGTATCAATCCCGATATGTTCTCCATCGCACCACTGGTTTCTATACAGTTGTCTTCTTTGTTTATTGTCGCCCTTTATCTACCCATGAGCGCGCATCATGTTAACTCCATTGATACTTCTCGGAAATGACGACATAGTGGACAGAACATATGCCTGTTACAACATATTCCACATTGCTCGGTAATATACAATGATATAACTTTATTCGTATAGTAATTACAAAATGATTAGAAGTTGATTCCCGTGCACAGACCTAATCTTTCTTGAAGATAGCTATACATTTTTGGAGTTACCTATGAGACTATTTGAAACAGTTATTATTTATAACTGCTTCGTTCTGGAGTAACGTGGTAGACCAAGCTCGGAATGAGTTTTGCTTTCAAAAGTGTCTAAATCCAAAGGAAATGCTCACGTTGTTTTCCATTTTAGTTAACTCATTTTTGCCTACTTAGATAGATGAGGACTGGAAGTACGTGGCAATGGTGCTGGACAGATTGTTTCTGATCATCTTCTCGCTAGCTTGCTTCACTGGCACTGTACTAATTCTCCTCCAGGCACCGACTCTCTATGACGATCGGAATCCTATCGATCTACAGTACAGACCTGCCAATTTAAGTTCTTTAGTCTGATAAACGGCGCACTCATTTATAGACTCAATCGATATCGTTCGATAAATCTGTATAGTATGATGCAATGAAAATGTATAGTGTGCAGTGAAAAGTAACAGTTAATTATGGAAAGTAGCTAATGAGTAAAAATCTGCAGAACTTATTGTGCATAACGTTCGAAAGGTTTTCCGAAGGAAGTGATTAAAGAATTATAACATTAAAAAGTGCCATCGCTAAGATGTCTGTCCATTTTTGCCAATCGTCTGAAAAGTTTGTTCTTTATAAATTCATGTTCACAGCTTTATATTTTTCATCACTACGGTGCTGCTTCACATACAGATCTCGATATTTCTTTCACTCGGCTCGTTGCCTGGCATCCTTCGCTCGCGAAGGTCTTCAGATTTGCGTTTGGGTTCCGTTTCCATCAGATTACTTTATTTTTCTTATGAATATCGTTGAATACAAGTTGAGCTTTTCTTGAAATACTGTGATGCGTACTGGAGCGTTTCCTGGCAACGACTGAGTGCTTCCATAAGCACTACAATTCTCGGATTGGTTTTGAAATGAGCGTTTGCATCCAAATACGCAAGAACTGGCGAGTGCTATCAGCTACCACTATTGAACCAACTAAGACCAATTGCAAGCATATGGCTACCACAAAATGGACTCCACACTGGTTGACGTGTGGCGATCTGTTCCAATTTATTGTCTATTTAGTTACTACTGGTGTACACTTCGCGGAACAATTTTCTGAGTAACCTGATAGTGGAGCATGAGATGGCTCATCTGCCTTATTGAAAAGGGCTCCGCCTTCCAGGTTCCATAGGGAGAATAGCCATAAGTTATGCTGATACCGTGCCCAAAAGTTCACCACGACCTGTGTTACTGCTAATGAGGGAGCTGCAGGAACCATGTTGAGAATTGTCGTCATACGTAACTCGGCTCCACGTTTACGTTTGCACAAACCAGTTTTACCAGTCTGCCTTTGTTGCTATGAGAGGAAACCATCGAGACGTGCTCAAGTTTGTCTCCTCATCGATAACACTCGGCAGGAAATGGCTAGAACTGTTCGTCGGAGGTCCTCAGCTGTTTAACCATACAACAGTTTTAGATATACTTGCGATTTGAGTATTTTCAAACTGAACGAGAATGAGCATGTTCATGGGAACGATATTTTAAAGGTAAACCCAAATTTCATACTGTTAGTGCTTAAAAGTGCCGCACTCAACCGTGTGAAGCTCCAGCAACGCACATGGTTGTTTTATCACAGGCCATATATTGAGGATCAGTCAAATATCAACAAGATGGTGAGGAAGCACACTCACTCGTAAAGAGATGATGAGCATTATTTGTTGTCCATAATAGCCGAAAGATCTAAAATAACTTTCTATGTTCAGCCATCGTAAGGTGCGTGTAGATGGACACTTTTAATGAAGGAAGTACACCAAGTATATGTTGCAAACCGAAACCTCAATATCGAATGAAAACATCTATTGTTACAAACATAGCATTTCATCCTGTCATCATGTAGCATCTTCATAGTATTATTTGCTCCAGTTAATCGTTGATCGTTACCGCCTTATCGTGGCTGGGGGGAGGTGGGTTTGGGTGTTGGGTCGGGCTACGATGCACAGGGGTGGAGTGGAGGTGGGCTAGGATAAGCGGGCACCTCATCCACGACCGCCGTGAACAGAATTGCTTAGTGGGCTTGCCTCCATAGTATACACAAAAACAATACCCATTTCGTAATAGTTCCCAGGATCGACTTTCTATTAACCTCGGCATTGGAATATGAATGTGTCGTTTTCTTGTTCAGCAATCGCGAGGTTTTTAAACAGCATACATTTACTTCCATGGAAAAACACAATACAGTACAATACTAGCTGACGTTTCGGCAGTATCGCCTTCTTCAGAGCCGCTTTTTCGTGACTTCGTGACTTTCGATTGGAAGTCACGAAAAAGCGGCTCTGAAGAAGGCGATACTGCCGAAACGTCAGCCAGTGTTGTACTGTATTGTGTTTTTCTATGGAAGTAAATACCCATTTCTTTTACAACACCATTCTAACCGTTTTGATGAGAAGGTGACTACAGTTACGATGACATATTAGGGTGGAAGGCAGGCAGGTGATATTCTAGAATATTCCTGTCCTTTATGTTGCAAACCAGCAAATTATCAGACAAGAGAAAATTACAATGAGGAACATTTGGTTACCAAAGATAAGCCACCTAAGACTAAGTATGGTGGAAGATAAGAAAAGATTAAGTGACCTGTTAATCAGTTTATATAAAGTCTTCGTGAGGTTATGGGCGCTACTCTGACCAAATCAGTACCTTGGAATCCTGACTTACGGAACAAGCCAGTTCTCTCGTTGCTGTTGAATCTCCACGGCACTGAACATTTGTACAAGGAAATAATTGATTATTCCATAAGCATAGAGGTGGGTTAGCTATAAAATTAGCGCATCGAATGTTTTCAATGGAAATTTCGGATGACAGATCTTAAACAATATACTATAATTCACTTAGGGTCCCACGTTTGAGAAAATGAGAAAATGCTCGAGCACGAGAAAACTTGTAAAAGCCAGAATTTTTCCCACGGATATTTTTTGATTATTAACAAAAATCTGTTAGGCATTGATTGCACATTAACACCTTTTCACTTCTCCATTTATTTTCGTTTTCATTTTCATTTTCTTTTTTAAGTTTCTTCTCTTTTCTGTCTGCCTTTTCAGTTCCCCAGTGACTTTTTCAAAGTACATTATTACCTCATTAAACCGGTCTCTAAGGCGAAACCCTGAATCAGGGGTTGTTTTCGACGCTCTAGACTTTTCGTTAAGCAATCAACATATTTCTCACCACCTCCGTGGCATTCGTGAAAGCCGCTCAAGCAGCAAGCCGGTTTCTCTGCGATTCGTTTCGATAAGCATCTAATACACTCCCCGTTGGCGGTTACTATAGAAATTCCGTCATCTAAGCTTTTTTTGAATCTTCGTGCTTTTCGCAACGTGAGCAGAAATCTAGAAGCTTTTATTTACCTATAGCTCCAGCTGATTTACTTTTGTCTCCCCTATAAAATATTTTTTCTCTGGCGTTGGCTCATTTTATAGCTGGCTGCGTAGCACTAATGTTTTTCCTATGACGTCACTTCTTCAGTCTTTCAACTCATCGAAGTTCTACTTCCACGTGGTTTTCACTAGGTTCGCTTTCAACATGAGTTTCGTCCAGTTTCATTATTTAAATAAGCAGAGTGATTTTTTATCTAAGGAATGAAGAAGGTAAAGCTTTTAACGTTGATTAATTCATGAGGGTTCGCCATGCATTCGCCATCGTTCAGAATCATAGAGGTTAATGAATGTAAATCCGGCCTACGCGATGAATTTCAGTGGTGTACCTATGTACCAGTGGACGTTACTGTACCGCTATGTGCAAGCTAGCAGTAATCTGACTACTCCAGGATAGATAGCACCACAACGGAAAAAATTTTGCTTTGAAATCGCCCAAGGACCGTCCTGTATTCTGGAGAACTGCCGGGTGACCTCAACGCGCCTACAGTCCTGTATAAAAGAGGAATTAGGGTGGAGCTACTGCGTTCGTGTCTACTCTGTTCATCTCAATACAACGGCTACGAAACGAACAACGCAAGACCGAACAACTTTTGTGGACACTCAATTTGAATCACCGTTGCTCTGACGATGACGAAACCGCTGTAATGTTAGCCATAGCGAAGTTTTGTGAGGAAAGCAATACATTGACTATTTATTCTGAAAGTGAGTGAAAGTCGGTGCTGATATTACTAGTGCATCAAGTCGCTTTCATGCCACAGAAGTTTGCTGCTAATTTCCCCGATACCAAAGTAACAGAGGACTTGATTTGTCTAATACACCAGTAGCGAACCGACGACCGTATGTGTATTAGGGGTACCTAACTAATGCGCCGCACTTGGCGTTCGTCTACAACCCATATATTATAATTACTTAGTTTTGCAAAGTTCATCTTGCAAATTTTGCATTATAGAAATGAAGAAATTTCGTTGGAAACTGGTTTGTGCTTATCATGTGGTGCTTTCGAGAAGGACCAGAATGTGTAGATACACGATGAAATTAATTAAGGATTTAAATTAGTTCTGCGCCGTATAAAAGACGTTCTCCAACAATGTATGCTTAAATCATCTTTTCAATCAGTTGAACCCGTCCCGTCCTGTTTTACCGTCATATACCTTATTCGACTTATCTGCGCCCATAACCTTAGTGTCAAAAAAACTCCTCACATAATGTTGCTGAGATATTTGCAGAACTCGGGATTACAGGTGTCTGCGGTGGGACAGGAGCACGCTATTGTCCTTTCCGGGGAGTAACGCGTTCACCACCACACTATGCGAGTCCTTCGTTTCGCCTGTCTCTCAGCTAGTTCTATCGATCACAGCCATCAGCAGCTACCTGTCAACAGGATTGATAGAACTAGCTGAGAGACAGGCGAAACGAAGGACCAGCACAGTGTGGTGGTGAATGCGTTCCTCCCCGGAAAGGACAATAGCACGTTCGTTCCCCACTTTAGACACCTGTGGTCCAGACTTTTGCAAATATCTCAGCAGCATTGTGGTTATATTTGGCTTAATACCTTGCCGTGAAAATTGTAGTAGGCAAAAAATAAAAAGTAAAACTCCTCATGTTATACCTTTTCATTTTCTGCTTACCAGAATTTCGCGGCAGGGTACTAAGCGAACTACAACCACAACGTTGCTGAGATATTTACAAAACTCTGGACCGCAGGTGTCTATGGTGGGGAACGAACGCGCTATTGTCCTTTTCGGGTATTTTCGCCTGTCTCTCAGCTATTTCTATCGATCTTTTGCCACAGCAATCACCCATAGAAATAGCTGAGAAACAAAGGGCCCGCATGGTGTGGTGGTGAACGCGTTACTCCCCGGAAAAGACAATAGCGTGTTCGTTCCCCACCATAGACACTTGCGGCCCAGAGCTTTGCAAATATCTCAGCAGCGTTGTGGTTGTAAAACTCCTCAC